CATCCAGGCAATACTGTCTTACCCTTTATTTACTAGATCTTCTAATTCAGATTGGCTTTCCTCCTCCCCCACCTCTAAAATAAAATCTGAATTCATGAAATTTTTGACATATGTATTTTTGTTAGAGATAAACTTTTATCCATTCTTATAGGAAAAATAGGAATAGCTAAAATTCACAAATTATCTCCAAATCTTATTTGAGCTAGAAGCTCTGCCTTCACTCTAAGTAAACATCGGGGCTGTTATCAAGAAGAAAAATTAGTTTTTCATCTTTTAGTTTTTGTTTCATCTCTTTGTTGTGGCTCCTTACCCCCTCCCCCCTTCTTTCTGTTCACCTTCTTGGGGAGCAATGGTTAAAAAGCGGACAGGGGATGGATATAATCTCTCTATTGGATGAAGGTTCCTTAAGGATTTAAGCTTTCTATGGTAACATTGAAAACAAGTGAATTTAAAAATATCGTACAGCCTCCTAGATCCCATAGGAAAAGTACTGCAGAGGACCTGCTGAATAAGGCACAAATCTGCACATCAGGATAATTGAATTAATTAGCCCTTGTCAATCCTGACTTCTGACTTAGTAAAGAAGGTAGTTCAACTGAATTCAAATATTACCAAATAGCGGAATTAAAGTGACCTTTGCAAGCATGCAGCCTGACTCACAACTCCCCAATGACATACCTGAGAAGTGGTCATCTAACCTCTGTTTGAAGATCTCCAGCAAAGAGTAGCCTGCCCCTTCCAAGGCAACACATTCCACACTGGGAGAGCCTTGGTAGGAAGTTTTCTCTGATATCCAGCCCAAGTTTGCCTCTCTTCCAACTTCCACCCATTGTCTCTGGCTTTTCCCTCTGAGGCTAAACAGAACAAATCCCGGCCCTTTTCCACTTGGCAGCCTATTGGATTCTTGAAGACAGCACTCCTGTCCCTACTGAATCTTCTCAATTTTAGGTCAAATATCCCCAGTTCAAATGACCCTTTTATGGCATAGATTCGAGGTCCTTGACTGTCCTGGCTGCCTTGCTCTGGACACTTTCTGCCTCATCACTGAATGCCCCTTCTGAACTGTGGCAACCCAGGGTACCCACAGAGATGCCTTGGTCACTTCCCTAGTAAAAATCTCCTCCCAAATTGACATCAAACCATTGATGATTCTTTTTCAGTCACCAAGCACTTTTGAGTTATGTAAACATTTGTGTTCACTCTCATGGATTTTATTTGGATCAGGAATTCTTAACTTGTGGTCCGTGAACTCGAACTTTAAAAAAAAATTGGCCATTGTATTTCTATGTAAGTGGTTTCCTTTGTAATTTTATGTATTTTGTTTTATGTAGTTAAAAATGGTATTATGACAAGGGCAGGGGCCCATAAACTTCACCAGACTGGCCAGAGGGTCAGTCCATGACATCAAAAAAAGTTAAGAATTCCTGATTTAGAGGGTCTATTACATCTAAGCTGGCTAAGAAGCAGGAAAACAATTTATGTGAAAATGACCAAGTTAACAAACAAGCTTGAAAGACTTGAGAACTCTTAGCAAAGCAATGATCAACCACTCATCATCAGGGGGTCTGGTAACCAATAACGCTACCCTCCTCATAAAGAGGCAATGAAATATGCAGAATGAGAGACAGTTTTGGACGTGGCCGTTTGAGGAAGTTTTTTGTTACAAAGGTTTTCTTTTTCTTTTTTTCTTTTTTCAGGGAAGGAGAAAGGGAGAAAAACAAATGCCAGATAACCAAAAATAAATTAGTTTAGATAAAGAATCGTCTCTCTAGTTAGTACCCATGGAGTTACTTGTTACACCTCCAAGGATTAAATGTCTCTCAAAACCCAGATAAGTCTCTGGCACTGTCTTAGTTTACTGCTGCTTCTTGGTAGCTAAGGCATCTTTAAAGAGCTTTTGACGTAGATGGGAGATGCAGGCTGGACCTTGTCTCTGCTGCGTCTGTTTTCCAGAAGCAGCAAGGAGCTTCTGGCAAAGCCTCATAGAGAATCCCCTGATGGGCAGCACAGAATTGGTTCTGCTAAGCTGGTGCCCTGAGATTCCCTGAGGCACCACCTTCTTTTCCTTTTCCCTGAATCTATTTAACTCTTTACTCACCTGTAGTTTGATAATAATACTAGCTACCATTTATATAGCCAGGTACTGTGCTTAGCACTTTAGGTAATTCAGATGGCTGAAGAAGTGATGCGTTTCAAAATTTTGGTATGTAAATCTGCCACCACCCCCACCCCCAGTAAATGTATTGTTTAGAAATGTATGCCACTAGGTTCAAAATGTATGCCACACCATAGTAGATTTTTTGCACATTTGAGCCCCTAAATAGCTGCTCTGTTTCTGTTAGAATGCAATATTAATGCCTTTCAAAATCTTACAACTCGTTCTGAGAATCCAACTGATAAATGGATGGAGGGATCTCACATCTGTAAATGGAGCTCATTTCCCATGAGCTAACAGCTGTAAACACAATTGAAAAATCTAAGTAATTTTCGAAGTAATTATATGTAACCAGGTAATTTCTGAACCACCTGGCTCGTAACTAGTGAGAGCCCTGCTGTAATGTGTTGGACAGGGATTTGAGAGGCCTGATACCATGGAAATTTAATATCTCGATTAATATCTTTCCTTAAATAGGAGTAGTGTGTATCCTGAGGGAAAAGGCAAGAAGTAGAAGAGAGCAGCAGGTTTATTCAGATCCTCATCTGTTAACACATTGTCCTGATCCTGACTTTTTTTTTATTCCTTAGCCCTTACCACCTTCACTCCTCATTTAAATCTCTTCTGCAGTTTGTTAGATAAGCAAATTATTTATCTTTTTAGCATCTACCACTACCATATGGAGGCACATTGAGGCTTTAATGTGTTTGTAATTAGCTGTGGTACCAGGGTGTTGAGCTATGGTTCATTTGTCCATTTGCCATTAGCTTATCAATTTCCTGTGACTCCATTATGGTTTTGTATTTTTTAAAAATTTCCCCAGTGCTAATAACAATCCAGCTTCAAACTTCTGGTGTCCAAGGCTACTAAAGCATACAGTAGGACTGGAGATGTCTCATTCAGGTCATCTCCTTGAGGTCATCTCACCTTAAACTCTACATTTTACATGCCATTCCAGAGGAAATAGCCTTAAAGATGGCAACCCAATGTTTTGAAGTGTTTGTCTTCCCTAGAAATTAGTGCTTAGGAGAGAATCTATGATATACTTACATTTTATACTCTGGACACCAAATGGACCAATGTCAAGTAAAAATGATACCTAGTGACATTGACCAAACAGATGAGGCAGCCTCATTTTGTTCATTGTGGGAAATGTTTACCGGTCCGGAAGAGCAGGGCCACTCAAAGCTTACTTTCTATGTCAGTTCAGTTGGGTTTTCTTTTTTCTATTAAGGGATTTAATTTCACAATTTTCTTGCAAAGTTTTGATATATAGCCATGACTCAGTAGGGAATTCACTCTAAGGAGAAAAAAAAATCAAGATAACAAATCTTGAATCAGAAATGCCAAATGGTTAAAAAGCTACTTTTATCAACTATATAACTAAATATAATTGGAGTTTTACTTAAGTCCCCTATTTTAAACTCAAGAATAATGGTATTCTGCCACACTAGTTAAAAAAATCAGTCTTTGAACCGACCACATAGCTTTCCTGTCTTTTAACAGATGGTTATTTTTATAAATGGTAAATTCTGTTATTTTTAACTAACCTTATGAAGTTCAACCCAGAATGAGAATGAAGCCTCACCCTAATTCTTGTAGACTCCTAGTTGGTAGCAGCTGTTCAACCAATGTTTGCAATGAGATTAGCCCAATTTAAAGGCTTTTAACCTTTGTTTGAAAACATAACTTGTAAGAATATAAAGCAGCAGAGAAAGAAGCATAATTTCCATTTACCTGTAGCTCATAAAAACCTTTGTACAGAGCTGCCTAGATGCTCACACCCAGTTATCTTATTTTATACTCCAAACAAATGTCAAAATATGTGGAGATAAAGCTCAAAATTCTGATATTAATGTCTTGACTTTTGAGGCCTAAGTCAGTAGCCCTTGATTGTATTAATCAAAAATTGTGCCAGGAGTGGGGCCAGAGGGCTTTTTTTGGTGGAATTGATTAATTCATTTCAGTCTATGCCTTGAATAGATAAGTGATTGAAATCCTTGCCATTAGGTGCACAGAACAAATTAAGAACCTCACAGAATGACAAAATAAATAACTTGGAGGGAGCATTTTCTGTTTGGAGAGTAAATTTATGGAGCTGCTTCAGTTCTTAAGGACAAGTATCACTTTCTAATAATTGTGACAGTTGATATCCGGGTAGAGTGCTTTAAGGATTATAACGTGCTTTACATACATTCTATCATCTGATCCTTACCACCTCCCCAGTCAGGTTTTTACAGGTGTCATTATCCCCTTTTCACAAATGAAGATGCTAAAGCTCAGAAGGGCAGTGAGGGGACAAAATGGATAGAGCCCTGGGCTTGGACTCATCTTCATGAGTTCAAATCTGACCTCAGACACTTACTAGCTGTGTGACCCTAGGCAAGTCACTTCACCCTGTTTGTCTCAGTTCCTCATCTGTCAAATGATCGGGAGAAGGAAATGGTAAGCCACTCCAGTATCTTTGCCAAGAAAACCCCAAATGAGGTCACAGTGAGTCAGACACGACTGAAATGACTGAAGAACAACAAAAGGCTCAGAGAGGTTGTGACTTGTTTATGTGGCTAATATATGCAGGGAGGGTAAAATTGAACTAAGGCTTCTCCCAACTCCACATCTGTGTTCTCTATTTTCACACAGTTTACAACTTCTCCGAACATTTAAGTAGAATATTTAGGTCCCATTACCCTTCTAACTTACTCTGCCCCAGAGTTTTTCCCCTCTCTTTCTTTTTTCCAGCACTTATTACAGTACATGACACACAATAGGTGCTTGATAAATGCTCTAACTTGCCTCGTGTTAATTTAACAGCAGAAGCGTAAGTGATGCCATTGCTTCATCCTAGGTTTTCTGTCAAGACCCTGATTGACCGATCCTGTTTTGAGACGATTGACGACTCATCACCAGAATTTAACAATTTTGCTGCTATTTTGGAACAGATTCTAAGTCACCGGCTAAAAGGTAAATACCAACTCCCCACTTCATTTCCCTCACCCCAGCATCTTTTTTCTTTATTCTGAATTAAACATTTAAAATCTATATAATTGTTGTGGCTGGGGACTGAGGATGCTACATCCCTGAGAAATGAGAAACTGATCTAAATGTTCTGAGCTGGAGAGTGATTGATGAAGGGGCTTGCTTCTAGAAATTATTGAACCAGTGCTCTCAGACACACTTATTCTCATCTCTGGGACAAAAGCAGAAATTAGGGTGTATTTCTCAAGGAGAAGGAGTAAGAAAGCTAATTTTCCCTAAGCAAAGAAACTATCATCCGAGCTAGGGCTTAAAAAAACAATACGTAATAACTGAAATATAGATAAGGGATGATGCCAGCTGCAGCAGCCTATGAAATGCCTCCAAAATGAAGGCTTTGGGGGTTAATATTGGTTGTGATGTGCTGCTACTTCCTTGGACTAGGAAACTTATAAATGTGATATCACTGGATAAGAGAGGGATTATGTGAGTAGCGTTTGACTGTTATAGATTTAAGATAAATCAGTCTTTATAAATAGAAACTATCTATGCTAAAAATCCCAGAAAACTTAAAAAAAGAAAAAGAATAATGTCTTATCGGATACTACCACAACCAACTTACATATATACGCAGGTAAAATAAAGATAATTTTCATGACATTTATTATACAGCATAAATCTTATTATAACTTCATTTTTAAGATTTCATTACTCTTGACATGCAGTAAGTTCTTTTAAAATTGTCATTCTCTAAGTTTTTGAAGAAAACTAGAATGAATGTTGTTTCTACTCAGAGAAAGTGGGTTTTGAAGGAGGTTACCTTTGTACTATTAATGATAGTGTCAGAAATCAGTGTAAATTAATATTCTGCTATCTAGAAGTAGAAATATTAGCTTTTCTCCATTTGGGGGATGGTAAAAGAGCACAGAATCAAAGTGTCTAGGTTCTACTTAATAAGTCTTTAAGAAGGCAGCTGGATGGCCCAATGTGTAGAACACTTCCAGGAGTCAGGAAGACCTGAGTGTAAATCTTACCTCAGAGAATTACTAGCTGTGTGACCCTGGGCAAGTCACTTAGCCTCTGTCTATCTCAGTTTCTTCTTCTGTAAAATGGGTTTAATAATGGCACCTAATTTACAGGATAGTATGAAGTAATGAAGTAATTTTTGTAAAGCGCTTAGCAGAATGCCTGGCACATAGTAGTTACTTAGTAAGTGCATGTTCTCTTCCTTAATGAGGAACCCCCACAATCATATATGCAGCCTATAACATCATAGGAAAAAATACATGGAGCCAGGTGGGCCCCAAAGAGGTTAGACCCACAGAAGAAGGTGACTCCTTCTCTGATGACCACATGTTTGTTTTTTAATTAACAAAAACGATTATTGCAGAAGATGCTCCCTTATCTTTTAATAATGTCAACATAAACACTCTCAGAGTTGATTAAATACATTTAATTTAGGAGAATAATATAAATGAGAACTCGTAGCTGACTAAGTAGTCACAGCAAGTTGTATGGTGGGACTGGGAGGAAAGCTAGCATTTTCAATGATGTTCCTATTGTAGGCAAAGAATAATGGGGCATAATCGATAGTTTATTACTTTGTGTTTTTGCCATTCTCTTTGGGATGACTTACTGTCACCCTAAGTCATTGTGAGATTGAGATAAGTATAGCCATGAGCTGTGGAATAAATGATGCATAGCTTCAGGAAAGGAAGACTTTAAAGGGGCTAGTTCTAAGGGACATTATATATTATTTTCCACTGCTTAGTTTTCTAATGGCTCATGAATAACTTTCCATTTGGGGGGCAGTTGGGGTGGCTTTCATAGCTCTTCTATCATAGAAACTGAAAAACTTCATGGTATCAAAACAAACCTGAATAATTCTTGGCATCTTGACAGAGATGAAAATTCAGGATTTATATTTTCTTGGTTTTATTGCATTCAATATTTCTGAAACTACTGAATCTTTTAAAGTGCTTGGGTAAAAAAATAATAATAACTGTAGCTAGAATCTATATAGTGCTTTAAGGTGTGCAAAGTGCTTTATAAATATCTCATTTTATCCTCACCATCCTGGGAAGTAGGTGCTCTTATTATCGCCATTTCTCAGATGAGGAAAGTGAGGCCAAGAGTGGTTAAGTGACTTGCCCAGAGTCATACAACTTGTAAGTACCTGAGGCAGGTCTTCCTGGCTCCATATGGAATGCCTCATTCACTTCACCATCTTCCTAGGGAAGGACAAGCACCCTTTGACACATGGTAGGTGGTTTCAGTACAAGTAAAGTAGGAAGCTGAAAGAATAGCTGGTTTTTTTAAATCCTAGATATTAAGGAAAGAGATGCTTGCTTCCTTCGATTATGGCAGGATCATAGCTACAGATCTGAAAGGAAGCCAGGTAGTCAAACAATTTCATTTTACAGATGAAAAACTGTACTATGCTGCTTCCCACCTTCATTTGTAAAATGGGGTTATGGGGACCTGATGAGATAATGTAAGTAGGGTACCACATAAATGTCAGCTACTGACATCTCACCTAATCCAACAATACCATCCATGATATCCCTTAAAGATGATCATACAAGGAGACTTTGCTTCTATATTTCCAGTGACAAAGAGCTCACACCTCACAAAGCAACCCTATTCAGTTGTTAGATTCCATTGCTGTGATTGGTAGAAAGCTCTTTTTATAGTCCCTTTTAGGACCAAGCCAAATAAATCCAATCTACCTTCCAGCTGAAAGCTCTTCAGGTATTTAAGACTGCTACAATGTCTTTACCAAGTCTTCTGTCTTTGGGGGCGAACATCCACAGTATCACCTACGTCCCATATTACACACTAGCCTTGCTATTATCCAAGTCACCCCCTTGAATTTTACCAATGTCTTTAAAATGTGCCACCAAGAGATGAATTCAGTATTCCAAATATAATCTGTCCAGTGCAGAATCTTAGTAGGACTACTGCCACCAAATCATAGAATCTCAGAATAGAAAGATTCCTTAGAATCATGTAGCATAGATTTAGAGCTGGAAGGGACCTTAGAGGCCAATGCGTCCAACAAACTTCATTTTAGAGAAACTGAAGCTAAAAGGGGTTGAAAGTGACTTGTCCATGATCATGTAGCTACTAAGTGTCTGAGGCTGGATTTGAACTCAGGTCTTTCTGACTCTTTCTAGACCCAGTGCTCTATGCATTCTGGTGCCCCCTAGCTGCCTAAAGGTGATCTAGCGTAACCGTGACAAGTAGTCATCCAAATTCTGTCTCCTGTGATCTGGACCCTGCAATTTGCTTCTTCTTCTTCTTTTTTTTTTTTTGGTTCACAAACAACTATAACTATGCCTTGTGTTCAGAACCTATCCTATCACGTGTTAGTAATGTTCATATTTTGAATCTAGACATAGGATTTTGAAATTTATCAGGGACAAATAAATGTTAAGTCAAGTCAACAGGCATTTCTGAAGAGGTTATTGCTATGTGCCAGACACTGTGCTAAGTGCTGGGAATAAAAATGGAAGTGGAAAGACTGACTCTGCCCTTAAGGAACTTATACTCTAATAGGGGAAGAAAACACATGAAAGGGAAATGAAAAGTGGCCAAGGTGGGAGTTGGCAGGGGTGATGGTGAAGAGCCTTCTGTGGCATGGTGGAGAAAATCCAGAGTCAGGAACCTAGAGGTGAATGAAGACCTGGTCAGCCTAGGTGTTTTTCTTAAAATGGTAGTTCTATGAGGGACCAACCAATAAGAGGAAGGGGATGTAGGGATTGAGTGTAATTTCAGTGTGAGGAGCCCAAGAGTGAAGTGAACTTCCAGGGCGAGGAGACTTTCTAGAGAAATTCCATAGGACAGGAACATGTCTTGTGAAGTGGAGGAGGGACAGGGTGATATATTTATTATTTTTGCCTGTTGCCATTTTTTTTAATCCTAAGTGTAATCTGTTGTGTTACACTTAGAAAATATACTCCAACCTCTTGGTTTCATCTGCAGATTTAATAAGTAGGCCTTCTGGGTCTTCATTCAGATCATAGATAAAAATAAACAAAGTGAGGACAGAGCCCTTTGGCTTGGCTGACATTTATTTATTAGTCTTTGAAGTACAGTTTTCCGCTATACTCTAACAGTACTATGTTTCAGTTCGTATTTCTTAATCTCATCTTTAGAATGTGTGTTTTTGCCTTTCTTTGTATCCCTAGTGCTTAGCACAGTGTCTTGCACATAATAAACCATTAATGAATGCTAGTTAACTTACAGATTGAATGACTTGTCTGAGAAGAAATCAAGAGGGACTTTCTCACAAACCTGATAAGTGCCAACGTATATTTTACAGATTACATACCTTGAGCTTACATCCTTTATTCATATGAGAATTCATCAGCTTTACTTGGAATGAACTTATTCTTATTTTAAATGTAATTCAGTTAAACAGTTCAGTATTTGTTATCATTATCATTGTCATCATCATCATAATCATTACTACTACTGCTGCTGCTGCTGCTGCTGCACAACACCTATTATGTGTGAGGCACTGGGCCAGTCCCTGGAGATACAAAGATGTAGATGAGCTAAGCTTTGCTCTTAAGATTAGTCTCATGGGTGTGGGAAGAGGATAAGTACACCATACCTGTGCTATAAGGCAGGATAAGATCAGTGAAAAGAAGAAATCCAAGTAAGACATTGTAAGAAATTTGAGAAAGAAGAGACCACTTTCCCTGGAGTTGGTTAGGGAAAACTTCAAGCAGGTAGTGGTACGTGAATTGGACTTTGAAGGATGGGAGAGACTTCAGTAGGTAGAAGTGGTAAGGGAATCCATTCCAGGCATAGGTGATAACATAAGCAAAAGCACAGAAACCAGAGAGGGCACGGATGAAGATGAGGCTGGACAGTTGTCTAGATGAGCTGGAACATTGAATAAGAAGTAAGTCTGAACACGTAGGTTGGTAGGTTGGAGAGCCAGCAACAACAGCAGCAGCAGCAGCAGATGATGATGGAGG